GTTTTTGGTGACTTCGATGCGAAAATTGAAGTCAAAAAAGGGGGAGGACAGGATCGAGAATTCGGATCAGGACTCTGGAATGGAAACGGTAATCGTCTTGTTGGGCTTCCGCACAACTTTTTCACGGCAATTCCATTTTCATAAAGAAGGAACAACGGCGGTGGACATGGGAATCGCTTAACGGTACGACAAATGGATCGGACACATTCTTACCAACCAAGATGGTGCTTACTGGAGTCTCAGTGGTACCATCCTTCAGTAGTGGTTCAGATCACCGTCTTCTTCAAGCAAAAGTGCGATTCAGCCGAAAGCTGGAAAGGAAGATGCGTCATGTGTTGGTGAGAGAAAATGTATATGACGGCGCAAGATAGGAGGAGCTCTTGACCATTTGCGACTAGCCCATCGAGGGACCCAACGAAGGACTACGACCTGCTTCTCAGAGGACTGAGAGCCTGTGGTGAAAGTGCCTCAGTGCGTCGAATGAGGAATTTGGAACGAATTTTGAAAGCCAGGATCTGTTTGTGAAAAGGAGAGCACAGAAGCTAGATGCGGCTGCATGACATCTCGGGTGATAGCCAAGAGTTGCAGAACAGCTTTGCAGTAAGATTTTTGAAAGCACAGGCAATCGAAACTTTTGGAAGCAGTACATGGAATAAGGAGTCTAAAGAACTACTGCCGGGACCTCCCCCAGTATCGCATTCCGCAACACTACTGAACGAAGACGGGAGGCACAGCTCCCGACAAATGGTGGAAGTGATTACGAAGAGATTATACACCAACCTCTTCTGCTCGTCCACACCGTTGTCAAACCCCGTTATTTCCACTGAAGAAATACCCACGGATTCTACCTGCTAAGAACAGGCCACGTTTCGGCGAACCCGAACAATCCTTCTTCATAAGGAAAGAAGGATCTTCGAAACTACCGTCCAGTATGCCTGCTGAGCGTGCTTAACAAACTCCTCACGAAGATTATTCTCGCTCGCATATCAAAGACACTGGATGAGGCT